TAAGGTTGTTGCATTTTTAATTTTTCTGAGAAAACTCCGTACTGCTTTCCACAATGGCTCCACTGATCTTCATTCCCACCAACAGTCCAGGAATATTCCCTTTTCTCCACATCCTCACCAACACCTACTTGTTGGTGTACTGTTGACAGCCATTATGACAGATGTGAGATATTTCATTGTGGTTTTAATTTGCATTTCTCTATGTATTACTGACAATGAGCTCCTTTTCATATATCTCTTGGCCATCTGTATGTACTCTGTAGAGAAGTGTCTGTTCAGGTCATCTACCCATTTTTTTTTTTTTTTTTTAAATCCTCACCTGAGGACATTTTTTTCATTTCTTGTTCAGATAGAGTGGGAGGGAGAGAGAGAGAGAGAGAAAGAGAAAGATCGACGTGAAAGGGACACATCGAGTGGCTGCCACCTGCACGACCCAACCAGGACCGGGGACAAACTGCAACCTAATTACATGCCCTTAGTGGGAACTGAACCCGGGTCTCTCTGGACCACAGGCTGATGCTTTCACTGCTGAGCCAAACCAGCCAGGGTCATCTACCTATTTTTTAATTGGGTTGGTTTTTGGTGTTGTCTGTAATTTCTTGAATATTAACTACTAATCGATGTATCATTTTTTAAATATGGTCTCCCATTCAGTAGGTTGTCATTGTATTTTGTTGATGGTGTCCTTTGCTGTGCAAAAACTTTTTAGTTTGTTGTAGTCCCATATGTTTATTTTTAATATGTTTTCCTTGCCCAAGAAGACATATAAAAAAAAATATTGCAATGACAAACGTTTGAAATTTTACTGAATATGTTTTCCCCTAGAATTTTCATGTTTTCGAGTTTTATATTTGTCTTGAATGCATTTTAACTTTATTCATGTATATGTTGTAAGAAGGTGACCTAATTTCATTTTTTGTACTTAATCTAATATTCCCAGCACCATTAACTGAATAGACTTTACCCCATTGTATATTCTTGCCTACTATTTCGATTTTTTTTTTTGTTATTCCTTACCTGAAAATATTTTTCCATTGATTTTTAAAGAGAGTGAAAGGGAGGGAGGGATGGTGAGAGAGAATGGCAGAGAGAAACATTGATGTGAGAGAGACACATCAATTGGTTACCTCCCACACAACCCTGACTGGGGCTGGGGATCGAACTTGCAACCCAGGTACATGCCCTTGACTGGAATCAAACCCACGACCCTTAAGTTTGCTGGCCCACAATCTAACTGCTGAGCCAAACCAGTCAGGACAACTTTTTCGGATATTGATTGTCCATAAAGGTGTGCCTTTATTTCTGGGATCTCTATTCTGTTCCATCAATCTGTATGTCTGTTTTTATGTCAGTAACATGCTATTTTGATTACTATGGCCTTGTAGTGGAGTTTGGTATCAGATAGCATGATTCGTCCAACTTTGTTTGATTGCTGTGGTTATTTGAGGTCTTTTGTGGTTCTATATAAATATTTGGAATATTTTTTCTAGTTCTGTGAAATTTGCCATTGGTATCTTGTTAGAAATTGCATTGAATTTATAAATTGATTTGGATAGTATGGACTTTTTTTTTTTTTTTTTTAATCCTCACACGAGGACATTTTTGCATTTATCTTCAGATAGAGTGGAAAGGAGAGAGGGAGGAAGAGAGAGAAACATCGATGTGAGAGAGACACATCGAGGGGCTGCCACCCACGTGACCCCAACCGGGGCCAGGAACAAACTGCAACCAAGGTATGTGCCCTTAGCGGCAACCGAACCCAGGACTCTCTGGTTTCCGGGCTGACATTCTATCTACTGAGCCAAACCGGCCAGGACTGGATAGTATGGACATTTAATAATTTTAATTCTTCTACTCTGTGAACACATATATACTTTCACTTACTTAAAGTTCTTCAGTTTCTTTTTTCAGTATCATTGTTTTCCAAGTACAGTTTTTTTTTATATATCCTTGGTTAAATTTATTCCTAGGTATTATATATTTTTTTGGATGTTGTGAATGGGATTGGTTTCTTAGTTTTTCTTTCTGATAGTTCATTATTGGTGTATAAAACGCAACTAATTTCTGGATATTTTGTAGTTTTTTTGATGGAATCTTTAGGATTCTCTCTATATCATATTTTCTTCAAATAATGACAGTTTTACCTCCTTCTTTCCAATTTGGATGCTTTTATTTGTTCTTCTTGTAAGACTGCTGTGACTAGGACTTCCCGTACTATGTTGAATAATAGTGGTGAAAGCAGACATCCCTGTCTTGTTCCTGATCTGGAGAGAAACGCTTTAGGTTTGCCCATTAGTATGATGTTGGCTATGGATTTATCATATATGGCCTTTATGCTTTTTCTGTATCTACTTGTACAATCATGTGATTTTTACCTTTCTGGGGTTTTTTTTTTTTTTTTTTTTGGTACGTGCCCCTAGCAGGAACCAACCCCGGGACTCTCTGGTCCACAGGCCGACACCCCAACCACTGAGCCAAACTGACCAGGGTTAACCTTTCTTTTTTTTTAATGTGGTGTATCACATTTATTGATATGCTGATATAATACCAACCTTGAATCTCCAGAATATATACCACTTGATCATGTTGTATGATCTTTTTCATGTATTGCTGGATCAGGTTTCGTAATATTTTGTTGAGTATTTTAGCATCTATGTTCATGAGGGATATAGGCCTATAATTTTTTTTTCTGTGTTGTGTCCTTATCTGGTTTTGGAATTAGAATAATGCTGGGCTCGTAAAAGGAGCTTGGAACGCTTTTCTTCTTTGGAATTTTTTGGAATTGTGTGAGAAGGATAGGTATTAATTCTTATTTGATGTTTGTTAAAATTCATATGTGAAGCCATCCAGTCCACACCTTTTGTCTGTTGTGAGTTTTTGTTTACTGCTTTAATTTAATTAGTTGTAATCGGTCTATTCAGATTTTCTGATTCTTCCTGATTGACTTGTGGAAGATTGTATGTTTCTAGGAATTTATCTTTTTTGTCCAGATTGTTCAATTTGTTGGCATATATTTGTTCATAAAATTTTTTTTTTTTTTTTTTTTTATCCTCACCCGAGGACATTTTTTTCCATTTTTTGTACAGATAGAGTGGGAGGGAGAGAGAGGAAGAGACAGAGAGAGAGAAACATCGATGTGAAAGGGACACATCGAGTGGCTGCCACCGCACGACCAACCAGGGCCGGGGACAAACTGCAACCGAAGTACGTGCCCTTAGCGGGAACCAAACCTGGGTCTCTCCGGACCGCAGGCCGATGCTCTAACCGCTGAGCCAAACCGGCCAGGGCCATAAAATTTTTTTATAATCCTTTGTGTTTCTGTGGTGTCAGTTGTGACTTCTCTTTCATTTTTTTTTTTTTTTTTTAATTTGGGTCCTCTCCCCCACTTTTTTGTTTGTTTGTTTGTTTGTTTGTTTGCTGAGTCTTTTAAAATCATTATCAATCATATTTCTTTTTCCAAAGAACCAGCTGTTGGTTTTATCCATCTGTGTTATTTTTTAGACTATTTCACTTATTTCTGCTCTGATTTTATTATTACCTTTCTTCTACTCATTTTGGCCTTTATTTGTTCTTTCTCAAGTTCCTGTAAGTGTAAAGTTAGATTGCTTGAGATTTTTCTTGTTTCTAGAGATAGGCCTGTAATGCTAGCATTTCCCACTTAGGACTGCTTTCACTGTATCTCCTAGATTTGGGTTGTTGTGATCTCATTTTCATTTGTTTTAAGGTAACATTTTATTTCTTCATCATTAACCCATTCATTGTTTAGTAGCATGTTACTTAGTTTACATATCTTTTTGTGTTTTTCAGTTTTGTTCTTGTGATTGATTTCTAGTTTATACCTTTATGGTCAGAGAAGATGCTTGATATGATTTCACTCTTTTTAAGTTTATTGAGACTTGTTTTGTGTCCTAATATATGATCTATCCTAGAAAATGTTCCATGTACACTTGAAAAGAATGTCTATTCTGCCTGTTTTATCTGAGATGCTATGAAGATATCAATTAAGTCCATCTATCTAATGTGTAATTTTAAAGATGTTATTTCCTTATTGATTATCAGTCTGGAAGATCTAGCCATTGATGTCAATGGGGTGTTAAAATTTTCTACTCTGGCCCTGGCCAGTTTGGCTCAGTTGTTGGAGCGTCAGCCTGCGGTCCAGAGAGACCCAGGTTCGGTTCTTGCTAAGGGCACATGTCTTGGTTGCAGTTTGTCCCCAGCCCTGGTTGGTCATGTGGGTGGCGACCACTCGATGTGTCCCTTTCACGTTGATGTTTCTCTCTCTCTCCCTCCCACTCTGTCTGAACAAAAAATGGAAAAATGTCCTCGGGTGAGGATAAAAAAAAAAAAATTCTACTCTGATTGTTCTATTGTTGATCTCTCATTTAATGTACATCAAGACTTGTTTTATATATTTAGGTGCTCTTATATTGGATGCATAAATATTTATAAAGTTTATATCCTCTGGTTGGATTTCTTTTTTTTATCATTATGTACTGTCCTTCTTTGTCTCTTACTATAGCCTTTGTTTTGAAGTCTGTTTTGTCAGATACAAGTGTTGCTTTCTAGTTTTTTGTTTTTGCATGAAATATGTCTTTTACACCCCTTTAGTTTTAGTCTGTGTGTATCATTCCTTCTGAGGTGGGTCTCTTATAGACAGCATATAAATGGGTCTTGCTTTCTTATCCATTCAGCTACCCTATATCATTTGATTACAGCATGTAAGCCATTTACATTTAAAGTGATCATTGGTAGGTACATATTTCTTGTGATTTAAATCTTTGAGTTATGTTCCTCTGTCTTCTTCTTCTTTCATCTTTTTTCTTTCCTTTTTCTTCTTTGTTTGACCCTGTAACATTTCTTGTAATAGTGATTTGGTGGTAGAGAACTTCTTTAGCTTTTCTTTTTATGGGGAGGATTTTATTTCTCCAATTTTTACCCCCTCTGGACCATAGGCCGACACTCCAACTGCTGAGCCAAACTGGCCAGGGCTTTATTTTTTTTTCCATGTGGCATGCTTCACAAATCTACATGTCATCTTTGTGCAGGGGCCATGCTAATCTCTGTATCTTTTCAATTTCAGTAAATGTGCCGTCGAAGTGAGCATTCTGCTTCAATTTTAAATTATAATCTTGCTTGGTAAAGTAGTCTTGGTTGTGATTCTTGCTTTTTATCACTTTGAATATTTCATGCCAATAACCTTCTGACCAGAATTTTATTTTTTTCTTTTGTGAGAACTAAGCTGAGAGTGTTATGGGAGCTTTGTTGTAGGTAACTCACTGCCTTCCTCTTGCTTCTTTTAAGATTCTCTTTGTCTTTAACTTTTGGCATTTTAATTATGATGTGTCTTGGTGTGGGCTTTTTTTCACTTCATCTTGATTGGGATTCTCTGTACTTTCTGTACTTGTGTCTCTTTCCTTCACAAGGGTAGGAGAGTTTACTATTGTCATTTCTTCAAATAGGTTCTTGATCCCTTGCGCTCTCTCTCTTCTGGTACCCCTATGATGCAGATATGGTTATGCTTCATGTTGACCCACAGGTACCTTAATCTATTCTTATTTTTAAAAACTCCTGTTTTCATTTTTCTGCTCTGATTATGTGTTTTCTGCTACCTTGTCTTCCCAATCACTGATTTGATCCTCTGTTTCATTCATTCTGCTGTTTATTGTTTCTAGTGTATTCTTTACCTCAGATATTGATCCTCATTTCTTACTGGCTCTTTTTTATGGTCTCTATGACCTTTTCTTTTTTTTATGCTTGTTATCTGTTTGTTGAAGTTCTCACTAATTTCCTTGAGCATCTTTATAACCATTTTTAAAACTCTCCATCTGATAAATTGCTTGTTTCTATTTTATTTAGCTCTTTTAAAAAAATGTTTTCTTTCTTTTTTCTTTATTTTTTAGAGAGAGAGGAAGGGAGAGGGAGAGAGATAGAAACATCGATGAGAGAGAACACTGATTGACCGCCTCCTGCATTCCCCCACTGGGGACTCACAACCTGTGTATGTGTCCTGACCAGAAATTGAACCAGTGACCCTCTTGTGCACGGGTCGACGCTCAACCACTGTGCCACACCAGCTGGGCTTATTTAGCTCTTTTGGGGGGAATTCTCTTGTTCTTTCATTTGAGTAATGTTTCTTTGTCTCCCTATATAGGCTGCCTCTTTGTGTTTGTTTCTACTTATAGGTAGATCTGCTGTGACTCCCACTCTTGGTGTGGTGGCCTTATATCGTAGGTTTACTATGTGACCCACTGGTGCAATTTTCTTGAGCCTTTGAGCTGGGTGCTCAAGGAATTTCTCTTGTATGTGTTATGAGGAGCCTCCAGTTATAACTGAGTCTTGATTGCTATTGGCCAGTTCTTCTATGGGGTCGACCCTCAAGTTGGCTGACTGTGAGGCTCAGTCCCGACTGCAGCATGGAGCTGCTGTTCAGGTGCTGACCAAAATTTGCCCCAGCAGGGTCTGATGCCTACCAAAAGCTTTCTTTGGTTATGCTGGTTTTGAGGCTAATTGGATCCAGTTCTTATGTTGTCTGAAGCTGGTCGCTGGGTGTGTTATTCAGGGTTATCTTGGGAGGGAGTCTGATGCAGGCCAGTGTCAGATGCTGACTGTGACTGGCCCTGGGAAGCCTGTTTGGAGCTACAAAGTAATTCACAATTTGTGTCTGCCTTTGCTATGCCTGGGTGTGCAAATTGCCTGGCTTTTGCCAGCACCAGGCTCAGGGACAGATCATCAGAAGTCAAAAGATTTGCCTCTTTCTGCCAGCTGCCTGATAGGCTCAGTCACTGAAAGACCCTCTGGCATTACTGAAGTTGCATGAAGTAGGTTTTCAGTGAGTCACCAGGTAGGGGGGTAGTGGTATTCACCATATTGACACAGGTTCAAACTCAGTGCCTGTGCTGGGTCGCAGGCCATTCAGCAAATGTCTAAGGCTATATCAAGTCTAGCTGCCATGTGCAAGGTGTCTGCAGTCCTTTGTAGTGGGCAGGATCTCAGGGTGAAGCCAGCAGAGTTTGTTAGGCCCAAACAGACCAAGATTTGGCCGCATGAATATTAGACCCTGCACCTGTTGGGCATGTGAGGGAAAAATGGCCCCGACCTAGAGCCACACAACTCAGTCTGTCCAAGTTTCTGCCAGGAGCTTGAGCTCAATAGGCAGTGTTGCCCAGAGTCAGGAGGGTGGGGCTATTGAATCTCCCATGACGGGGAGGTGCTGGTCAGGTTTGAGGGAAGGTGGTAGGACTGGCCCCCATCCAGAACCACACTACTCAGTCTGTCCCAGATTCTGCCCGGATCTAAGCAGGGCAGGACCACCTAGAGCCCAAAGTGTGGGACTGGAAGATCTTTACCATGAAAGATAGTTACCAGCCAGATCTATGGGTAAATTGAGGGAGTGCCCCCCCTGCCCCAAAGCTACACCACTCAGTTACTGACAACCCCTGAATCTGCCTAGATCTCTGTATCCTGATCCAGGCAGCTGACTCCTCAGCAGGGCATGAGCTTTGCAATGTGAGATGATAGGGAGTTTAGAGGGTTGGGTTATTACTTTTCCCCAGGCTGATGCCACAGAGATGGGAGTGCTTCACGTAAGATACATGGGGTCTGTGGTATGAAAGAATGACTCAACACAGGGATCTTGGCATCTGTCTCCACACCTCTCTCCCCACAGCCACAAACCCCAGTCTCTCCTCACATACTCCTGTCTGCCCCACCCTTCCTCTGCTGGAGCCCAGGGCGAGTGGCTGTGAATGAGATTTTGTGCATTGGCCCTGTAGGAAGGTACCTGTGTCTTTTGCAGACTCCTGTCTCTCTCTGGCAGAATCCTCGTTGACTTTCACTGCCAGATGTTATGAGGACACCTGTTCCCAGATCTGGTGCTCTGGGCTGTAGAGGTTCAGACCCCATGCTCCTCAGGGAGAACTTTACAGCTGAGATATTTCTCTGGAATCTCGGAATCTCAGCCGCTGCCTGTGGGAGCCAGGCCAGCCCTTTTCATGTCTCTGCCCTGCTCCCAGTCTCAGTGTGGTTTCTTCTGCATGTCCTTGGTTATAAGACTTCTGTTCAGCTAGTCTTCAGTTGGTTATTCCAGTTAATTGTTCTGTTTTAGTTGTAATTTCATATTGGTTCTGGGAGGAGGTGAGTATAACATCTACTTAGTCTACTGCCATCTTGGTATTTCTTTGACATATTTTTTTAATGCTAACAAAATTTTATTAGAATGATGATTGTTGATTAGAGATCATGGTGTTTACATTCCTAAGTTTTGGTGCATCTGATGGGAATTTTCTGCAGGAACTCTCTGGGCAGATTGGAGCAGATGTGCTGCGTGAGGCACCATGTAGCCCCAGTGACTAAAACCAGATGTAACATGCCGTTCTGTCATAGGTCGAGGTACTTCCACGTGGAGAGAGCTGTTCTTCATTCAGTTTTAGTCTTGTTTTTCACCTTTTGCCTTATTGTTCTTACAGTTTATTGTGGAATATACGACTTGACTTTAATCGTGTCCTTTCAATTGTATTTTGTCCTTTTTTTCCTCCTCTTAAAGACATAGGTTAGAGAAAAAACATTTGAAAAATAATTATCTTGATCATTGTGCAAAGAATACATTGTTTTGTTCTTTCTTTTGTTTATTATACTAAGTATATCTTTCTAAGTGGTGCTCTTTGAGACAGCAGGTAAGCTTGTGAACTCTAGAGATAGACTACCTGTTTGTGCATATAGCTCTGCTACACATCCGATGTCTCACCTTGTACAGGTGTTATAATTCCTCAGTATCTCAGTTTATTATCTGTAAATGAGGATGACTGTCATACCTACTTTTATAGTGTTGTTCAGAGTGGGAGTATACATGAATTACTTCATATAAACAGAATGATATGGAGAAGAGTTTACATATGTTAAGTAGAGGTAGATATATGTAAAGTAGGGGTTCTTTGGCATGTTTGTGATTATGAGAATTTTTAAAAAATTTGCTCTTATATATTGCACATACACACATTCAGAAAAATTAGTGCGTATAGAAAAACAAGTGCCTATAGGAAAACAAAGTAGGTAGTAGTGATAATATCTAACATGTATTAAAACAGGATCTTTAAATCATTGTGAACAGAGTATGCAGAAGTAAAACATTTTTTAAAAATCAGTAACACTAATGAATAACATTTTTTGAATGCCAGGCAATGTGGTAAGTCCTTTCTGGTTTCAACAACTATTTCCTCATCTGGTTAGTTATGTAATATTGGTGAGTTTCATTATCCTCTCTTTAAACTCTGATATGTCATGTATGAGGTGGATATCGATATCCGTTCTTTTTACTTTAAAACAGTGGTTCTCAACCTTCCTAATGCCGCAGCCCTTTAATACAGTGACCCCCAACCATAAAATTACTTTTGTTGCTACTTCATAACTGTAATTTTGCTACTGTTATGCCTTAGGCAACCCCTGTGAAAGGGTTGTTCGACCTCCAAAGGGGTCGTGACGCACAGGTTGAGAACCTCTGCTTTAAAGGGATATTATTAAAATGAGATAATTTAGTGAGATGTTAAGTGAACTAGTTCATAATCAGATAAGATAAAACATTGATAAATTATGTTACATGTAGTTTGGTAATTAATAATTAATCTTGATTTGTCTTGAGCTCATAGTTGTGTTAGGAATCGCTGACGTCTCTGAATTAAAAATATATATATGTAATATGTTTATATATATTTAAAAATATACATCAATGTGTATTTATTCATTGGTAGATAAGGGTTTTTTGAAATGCCTGAATGTCCATTGTTATCAGTAATCTTCCTGTAATACACGGAAACTTTTCTGTTTTTGTGATGTTGGTATTTTTGTTGTTTGTTTGTGATTAATACTCAATTATCTCTTTTGTCCAAATAATGAGCCCATACCTAAATTGTCTTATTAAAGTAGTCTACCTGTCAGGTTTTACTATTGACAATTCTGAACCAACTTTACATTTAACTGTCTGTCACTGTCTGCTGAGCAGATTATAAACCCTTCTTGACTCCAATGGCATAGCCTTTTGTGTATCCCTGGCACTAGCACTTTGCTAGGTAGAATAGGAAACAAGTAATCAGTACATGTTTATGGAATAAGCAAACTAAGAAAGAAGGAAAGGAAGTCAAACTGATATGAGAGTAGCCCATATAGCTAAGAACCAGAAAACTGATCAGAGCTTCCAAGAAATCTTTAAAAAGTGGGTTACTGACCTAAGAGGAATAGGCCTTTAGGAAAAGAATGTAATGTCAGATAAGTTAAAATTTGAATGTTTTATATCTATTTGTCTCTGGTTGGAGGATAAAACATAAATGTTGCAACTATTCTGAAGTTTTTGTTTTTAAGTAAACTTAATACATTATAATTCATTAAACAGAGGCGGGCTAGCAGAAAGACTAAATGGACTGCAGAATCGAGAGAGATCTGCCATTTCCTTGTGGAGGCATCAGTGTGTTTCATACCAAAAGATACTTTCAGGTAAGGATCGCACTGGAATCTGAGATTGTGGGTAAGAAACATGCCAGTTAAAAATATTTTCACATTAAAATATATGAAGTTGATTTTTACTGTTTTCATGACTTTATTTTTCTCTACGTGTCATATAGGTTTCAGAAATTATTCCAAAAGATGAGCCCTTTCTTGTAAGGTCTTAATGATTCCTCCCCATGGAGCTTCTCATATAGTTCAACAGAAGTCTTATTCTTCAAGATCTAACTTGAAGCATTCTGTTAGACCTTTTTCTTGCTATATCTAAGTCAGTAGCTTTCAGACTTTTGTGACTGCGACCATTGTAAGAAATACATTTTACATCATCTCCTAATGCACTTATGATATTCACACACACACACACACACACACACACACACACATCCTGAAACTAATACTTCATACACAACACTAGCCTTAGTTTGTGTGATATACTCTGCATACTTTTTTATTTTTACCATAATCCTCATTCCATTAAGTTGATGCAGGCCTTTCTAATAATTAGCAACATGAATTCAAAAGTTGTTACTACAAGCAAGTGACCGAAACTCATATTTCTTAACAAATTTTTTTATATTTAAAATATTTCACATACCAAGAAAAGCTCCATCTCCTATGAGACAGAGTTCTTCATGGTTTCTTTCTGGGTGGTCTCTCCATCTGGAGTTAGGGAAGAGGTGTGTGGGAATGGTCATCTCTTCTACACCTACTATTAATAATTGTCTGTCCAAAGAAGAACATTTAGTATACAATAGCCAAGATATGAAAGCAACCTGAGTGGCAATCAGTGGATGACTGGATAAAGAAGTAGTACATATATACAATGGGATATTACTCAGTTGCAAAGAGAAATTAAATCTTGCCATTTGCAACAACATGGATGGAACTAGGGGTATTATTCCAAGTGAAATAAGTCAGAAAGACAAATACTATGTGCTTTCACTTATATGTGGGTCTAATAAACAAAACAAATACAAACTCATAGATACAGAGAAAAAACTGATAGTTGCCAGAAGGGAGGAATGTTGGGTGAAAGGGGTGAGGGGATGAAGAGGTGTAGATTGACAGTTACAAAATAGGGGGTTGTAAAGTTAAGCATAGGGAATATAGTCAATAATGCAATGACTATGTACGGTCCAGGTGGGTATTAGACTTATGGTGGGGATCACTTCTTAAATATATAAATGTCTTACTATGCTGAACTCTTGAAACTAAAATAATAATAAAACAACATTGAATGTCAGCTGTAATTGAAAAAAAAAAATCAGGGTATATAAAACAACATAGGGAAATACAGTCAATAATAATGTAATAACTGTGTGGTGCCAGGTGGATAGTAGACTTACTGGGGGAATCACGTTGTAGGTTATATAAATGTCTAACCACTGTGCTATTCCCCTGAAACTAATATAATATTGAAGGTTAACTATAATTAAAACTTTTTTAAATGAAAAAAATAGTTGTCTCTCCAGGATGATACTTGGAATATGCAGTTTATTACACTCAGTTTATTTTTGCATGTTAGAGGGCAAACGAGAACTAGAGTGCCAACTAGACAGAACACTCAGCTAGTGTGTTTCAACTATCACATATTCCTTTGTAAGACTTTTGAATTCTTATGTCATTTATTACCTTAAAATCCTTTCCAGCTGTATTTTAGCAACTATCTTCTCTCTTTCACATTCTTGTATTAGAGTAGTATGATGTAAACATGTGTGCATATGTCTTGTTAGATGGTGAAAATAAAGAGACACTGCATTATTCTGATTTCACTTACCCTGCTACCAGACCTAGTAGTTCAGAAGCCAGCAAAAGCAGCATCTCTTTTCCCTCAGGGTTTAGTTTACCTTTGGGTTTTCAAGGTACCAAAATCAGAATCTCATTTTATTTTTTATATACTCAAGTGATTTATACTTCTTAGGTTAATTTCGACTCAACAGGTAAATATCTCAGTCTTGGCTTTCCTTCTAGATTTAGAAATCTATGAATTAGTAGCATTTTTATGAACCACATCTTGCTTTATTCTCTTGATGTTAAGTATAGTGTATCTCACTGAGTATTTATCTTTTTTAGATGTAAGAAATTCTATTTACAAAAGTAATCTTTAGATTGTTATTATTTAGCTTTGAGGATTTTCTTCCCACATTTATTTTCCTTGAGGAATATTATTTAATTAATACACAGTTGAGAGGGTGTTGTGGATTCTGCTTATTAGTTTGAAATGTTTGAGTGACTGTCTCCGACACATCTTTGTAACTTTTTCCAAAACTTTTTATTTTGAGAAAATGATAGATTTACATGCACCTCATGCATTTGTAAAAAATAATAGTGATTCCTTGTGTCATTCATCAAATTTACCCCAATGATGACATCTTTTCTAAGTATAAATCGATAGCATAACCAAAATATTGTTCCAGGATGCAGTTCACCCATACACTCATATGTGTGTGTGTAGTTTGTTTATGTAATTTTATCAGTATGTAGATTCATGTGCCCATCACCATAATCTAGAAACAGAACAGTTTCATCACCACAAGGATCCCTTATGCTATCCTTTTATAGCCCTGGTTGCCTCTTTTCTACCCTCCTAGCTAATACCTTGCAACCACTAATCTGTTCACCTTTCCCTAGTTTTGTGATCTCAAAATGGAATAATAGGATATGTAACCATTTAGGATTTTTTTTCCTCTCGGCATAATTTTCTCAAGGTTCATCCAAGTTTGTATATATTAATAGAGCTTCTATTAATGAGTAGTATTTCATGATGTAGTATTTCATGATGTGGACATACCACACATTGCGCATCCATTGAAGTACATTTGGATCATTGGTCTATTACAAATAAAGTTGCTATGAGCATTTGTGTACATGTTTTTAACAGAACATTGTTTTTTTGTTTTTCCTGGTATAAACAATCAAGGGTACAATTGCCAATTATAGTAAGTACATATCTAATAAGAAATTGCATATTAAAATAAAATATTTCAGAAATTATCTCTAATATATATTCTGGCTTAAAATATTTTTTAACATTTTTGGTTTGTGGATTTTAATTTTTCTTTCCTTTTTTTAGGAATTGCTTGCTTTTCTGAGTTGTTTTGTATCTCCCACTTACACCATTTAATAGTTTTGTTTTCCTTCTTTTTACCTTCTAGTATATTTCAGTACAAGACACATCTCAAGGTTCTTTAAACTTGAATAAATATTAAATATATGCCTATTATCTTGGTTGTTTTCTCACGATATATTAAAGAGGGATTGAGGAACAAAGTATATGTGTTAGACACGAAGGCCAGTGTACATGCATGTGTCAGTCACACAGAGAAGAGAGAGGGAGGCAGAGGCCATACACCTGAAGGTCATGATTGGATTTTGTCTCCAGTGTGATGCCCTAGAAGTATGTGTTCCTTAACGAGGCCATGGATAGAGAACAGATGGTTGTAGAGGCAAGAGAACAATAGTTCCCAGGTTCCTCTTCAGGAACCACTTTATTTTTCTTCTTTGTTTTTGAGGGCAAATGGTTTCCCAACACTGCTTTACCTGGATAGCAATGTCCAATATTTATTACAGAATATTCAAAGCCTTTCACATGTTTATTAACTCATTTTATTCTCACAACAGCCATTCCAGTTAGGTTTTCCATTCCTGTTTTAGAGACAAATAAAATGTGGATGGGTGTGACCCCATGTGCCTAGATAGTAGACGGCAGAGCCACCTTTATGTCAATTGGCCTCAGTGGCCTGTGATTATGTCCCATCTCTTTCTAGGCAGATGTTGGGAGGCAGATGCAGACAGGCACCGAGAACATGAGCCAGAGACTGAGTTCTGTCAATGTGAATGTAGCAAAGGCCGCACCCATTCCCTTGTTCGACCTCTGTTTAGTAACCATGCAACAAATATTTTCACAATATGTTCGGTATCTACATTTTTAAAACCAAAATAGTGATAGATACCAGGGAACTCCTTGTATTGTTCAGGGAGAAATGAGAGAGAGAGAGAAAGAAGTGAAACCCCTCAAAATGATGGGCATCAGATAAATTATTTATTATGAGAGTTTTGTTCCTAAAAGCTCCCTCTAAACTTAACATAGAAGACTGTGGGAGATGGGGGGAAAGACACAAGCAAAATAAATGAAGTGCAGTAGCATTTACTACAGTCTAAAGCAGAATTCTCTGAGTTTTTTTTTTTTTCTTTTTTCCTTTTCTCCTCAACTTGCTGTTTTCAAGTATAGTGAGTGGTCACTGTGTGTGTGTGTGTGTGTGTGTGTGTGTGTCCTCACTTCAGAACTCCGTTAGCTCTGCCTGTGAAGGTAGAAGTGCTTAGGTTTTCTGTGCATGCATGTGCATGTGTATGTGTTCACAAGTAATAAACAGGTTGTCTTGCTTTTAGAATAGTATTATAAGAGTAAAGAATGAACTTAGTTACTCATATAGATATTAGCACTTAATAGCTTTTGTGTTAGGATTTTAATTTTATTCACCTTTTTGCCACTGTATCATGATCAGCTAAAACTTGGTAGACCACAGAATACTTTAACTTCTGTCAATACCTTTTCCAATACTGATCCATAGAATCTTGATACTGCTGCCTGGGAAACTTGGCTTTTAACTTACAGTACTAGCCAGCCCCTTCGGGTCACTATAATTGGTAGACAGCCCACACAAGCTAACCTAGATCAGGTACTGAGTCTCCTCAAAATAAATTCAGACAAAGCAGTCTAACTGCCATACTCTAATGAGGTAACTTAACCATGTGCTACTGTAAGTTCAAATTTCAAGTGTTCTTAATTTCTCTCGTCTCCATTCTATGATTTTAATTTCCTTGTCTTTTTTCATTGAAAATAATTATTTCCTCATATTTTCCACTGTGATTTTTGTAGAATTACATTCACTGCCTTTGTTATTTTTCCAGTCACATTTTATTGCACATGTCCTCTTCAAAGTTTTTGTTGCTTTGGGGGCTTTTAATTTTATTTGTTGTTATTGTTCTTT